GACCCCCCCCCTCCCCCAGAGTGCGAACGTAATATGTGAACAAAGCCTTATCTAAAATAAAATAATATTTTGCAGTGTCTTTAAGTTACATGTAAATGTATACATTAATAATTTTATTAACTATCAAATTATTTACAACATACTCAAATATTTTGATGTACAATCAGTGACATAATTATGTTACAAACTGTTTTTGCTTTCATTTTGTCACATAAATATTTTCTAAGTAAATGAACAATTTAAATATTATAAAAATTTTACAAATAAATAATATATTGTTTATGACAATTTAAATATTGTTTTAATTAACGTAAGTATAAAATGTGATCTAATAATTTAATAACAATACAACTGTACAATCAATAAGTATACAACTATATTCTTGCTTTTATTAAACAATCATATAAAATTTTATTATTAAGACTATAGAGGATATCGTATATACCATGGAAACTATATTTATGAAAATCTATGTTACCAATGGTTATCAAAAATTTCTATCAAACGCTTGTAATTCTATTGTTAATAATATCGCAAAATAGTTAACTATTTACATGTGTAAACACTTAATTTTTCATTATATTTCACCAAACTACATTGTAAGTTTAAATTGTGGTTCATAATAAAGTCTAAACATATTATTTAATAATGTGTACTATTTTGAACAAATTTTCAAAATGTAATATAATTCTAGCAAATATTAGAGAAAATATATCAAAATTACATGTTTTCTACGATTGGAGAGAAGGTATTAATGTGTTATTTATAACAAATGATGATATGGTCTATGGATTTGGCCAGTAAATGGCAGCTTCCAAAAAAAGCTTTCAAAAAAAGTTTTTAACTAAACATAATTTTTGTTGCACTATGGTATATTTTCAAACATTAATCACAAACACAATTACATTTTGTTTGTAAAATATTACCCATAAATGATTAAAGTAATGTAAACCACCACACTCTTTTTCATAACGACATATTTGAATGCATTATAAAACTAATAAATTGATTATAAAGTATGTTGCCCTATAATGCGGGCAAATGCACAGATATGCACTCATTGACAGACTATGGATTTGGCAATAATATGGACGGATGTCTGGGTTTAGGCAGAAACAGACCCATAGTATCACCAGAACTTATACCACAACGAGGGCAGATAATAACATCATTCAACCCGTACTTTATTGACAACAGGTGACAGGAGAGGGAGAGAGGGTTACAGAGGAGTGTAAGCGATTGGGAGAGCGAGAGATGTGTGAGAGAGTAATGTTTAGAGATAGGGAGAGGGAAAATAAAGTGAGACAAAAAGAAAGTCAGTGCAATGTTTACTTGTTGCTAAGTGTTACTATGGACTTTCTGATAGATATATATAGATTATGTCAACAAAACATACAATACTTTGTCAATGGATTGAATTTTGTATTAGCAGTGAATAACATGAATATGATATATGAAAGAGAAACAACCAAACGGAATTAAGTACCCAATGTATTTCCTATGGACAATGAGTAGTAGTCATAACTCAATAAGTACTGGACCAATTTTTGCAATCTATATATCAAATTGTTCAGAATAAAATTTGATTTGAGACAAATATCAGGATTTTTCCTATAAATGAGAAGAATCAGACTTTACTCATATTTAAGAGGTAAAAATACAATAATTTAAAACCTTGCCATTTAAAAAATACTGATTCAATTTTAATTATCAGTACATCAAATTAGTTCAAATTAAGAATATGGTAATATAATTTTTTTGCATTTCAATATCTTAATTTTAAGCCTTGGTATTGCACATAAAATTAAAAAATAAGTTCTAAATATCTTTACAATTGGAATTTTTAAAAACTAAAAATTTATATTTTTCTATTTTTAATTATGACTAATTTGATGTACTGTTAATTAAAATTGAATCAGTAGTTTTTAAATAGCAAGGTTTTATATTATTGTATTTTGATCACGAGTCACAAGGATTTCTATAATGTGCTAAATGAACTTAAATCGAGTGAAAATTCAATTTTCTATGAGATTTTATTTCGTAAAACAAAATAATATTTAACTTGTAATATATTTGTACATATTTTATTTTATCTAATATTATCAATATGTCATACCTAATAAAAAATAGCAGTTTTGCCCGGTCTATAATCATATGTGACTAATATTTTTTTGAAGTCGAAATACAAATGAATATTAACAAAATAATCATTTGTAACAATTAGTTTATTTTATTTTCATAATGTTTTTATTAATGTTAATTTATTCAACATTTATTAAATAATATCAAAAAATAAGTAAATTCACAAAATTACAATAATGTTTAACAAATTCACGACTATTTTTAATAAAATTTTTAGAAAATTAATCAAATTAAAAATTTATTTAAAAAAACAGAATTAATGTTGAGAAAATATTGAGAAATAAAAGATTATTTTAAGTCTTAAGATTACAATAATTAAGGAATAGTATTTGTCTTGTGAAATCAACATTATGTACTAGTATTAGTGTCTAAACTAATATTTAGTTCAACTAGATCCTTTAGATCAATAGATAATTTCGTGAGTAAATAATTATAGAAAAATTGGTTCGGAAATTGTTTGAGTAAAAGCTTGTAATTAGTAATAAAATCTTTATAAACATCAATCGCATCTACAGTCCAGTTGTGGATCAGCGCCTGTATGTCAGCACTTGTCGGTCGCTTTCCATAGTATCGGTCTATCATAGTATACACGGTATCGACGAGTGCCTCGAACTTCTGGTTTGATATCGAGATGTGGTTTCTTTTGGAAACCTCTTCCGATCTAAACGTTTATACAAAACAAATTAACTTTGAATTAATATGTTGTCATAGAATTAACATTACAAACGGACAAAATATTATAGGCATTTTAAAATTCTATTATGTTAATCACTGTGTAATTTTTAATTTGTATTACTTTAAAAATATTAATTTAAATATTTAAATATTCACTTACGAAAAGAAATCTATGCCAAACATTTCGCACGCAATTAAACCAAAACTAAAAATATCACATTTCGTATTGTAATCACCGCTAAATTTAACCTCCGGTGCCATATATTTCTCAGTGCCGGCGCCGCGAGTGTGACTTTGAGAGCCCGACTCGTCAAACACCGAGAAACCAAAGCCTGATATCTTGACGAAACAACCCCTGGGGTTGTGGCCGACGACCAGAATATTCTCGGGCTTTAAATTCCGGTGAATTAGCGGAGGCTCTAATGAATGCAAATACTCTAAGCCCTGGTTTACATCCGAAAATATGTTTAACAATAAGTAATATTCTGATAAATTGATGGGTGTTTTGGCCGATTGTCGACCAAAGGCAGTCATACTTGTGTCCAAAACGGTCCTCAAGTTGTGGTCGCAGTATTTCATCTGAATGTAGACAAACTGGGTGTTTTCAATCCATGTGACTTTATACTTTATAATATATTCATTGCACAGTTTAGCTATGGTTTGAAACTTTTTAACAGCTTTATTGCGAACCGATTTTTCTACAAAAATACAAATATTAATTTTAATTATTTTAATAAAAATAGATTTCTATCTACATTATTTTTAATAAATATTTTCATCACGGCATAAAGTTTTTTGTCTGTACTATTGACCACTTTTTAAAATTTTACATTTTACATTTCGTTTACATTTCGACAAATATCTATTATATTTACCTTTAAATTGTACTCTTTTAACGGCATATATCTTATCATCCAATCTATGCTTAACTTTAAATACCGTCCCAAAAAACCCCGAACTTATAGTTGATATCTCAATAAAATGCTTATAATAAATACCATCAGTTGAATTGGTGTCTATTTTATTTGACATAAATGCATAGAAAAATGAGTTTTCAATGGATTTAAGCTTATTTAATATTTTGTGGAATTCGTTATTATGTGTGATAATTTGTTTATCGATGGACCACATGTAATACTCTTTTAAAATTTCAGTACTTGTAGGTCGTTTTTCTGGATTTACTTCAATCATTGAATATATAACATCATAAACACGATTAAATTGAGCACTAAATTCGGTCCATCTGTATGTTTCCGTTGGATTTTTGCTAGAAATATTTTTTAAAATGGATTTTTAATATACTATACTGTATATTATTGAATATTTAATTAATATTGTTAAACAAATTTATAGCAACAATCTATATCAATATTTACATTGTGTTGATTTCAAACAATTTCAATCCAATAATTCCGAGACTGAAAATATCTGCTTTAAAATCATACGTCCCGTTAAGACCCACTTCATATGCCGTGTAATTAGGAGTTCCCGCCCCACGAGTGTGGCTCATGAATGCCAGGTTGTGTTCAGTGGCCAAACCAAAGTCACCCAATTTTATGAATGTATAATTACTAGTGTTTTGCAAAATTAAAATATTCGCCGGTTTTATATCCCGATGAATGATCGGTGGGTTTTGTTCGTGAAGATATTGTAAGCATGGCAAAAGTTCCCGAAATATTTCACAGGATAAGAAATATTCATAGATATTAAAGGGTAGTGAGGGTTCTCTATTAAAAAGAGTGTCTTTGTCTTTGAGTACATCTCGTAGACTTTGTTGACAAAACTCCATTTGAATATATATACCAATCGATTCAATCCACGAGTGATAATATTTAACCACAAAATATGAGTTACATTTTGATAATATATGGACTTCTTTAAGAACTCGGGCTTTTTCTTCTTCACTAAATTCTATAAAATATTGTTAAACAATAATTATAATAAATTTTAACTAAATTAAATATTTCAGCATTACCTTTAAAGTGTATTTTTTTAACGGCATATATCTTATTATCCAATCTATGTTTTACTTTAAATACTGTACCAAAATCACCCGATCCGATTGTTTCCATCTGAATAAATTGCATTTTATACAATGCATTATTAGTGATATGATTTAGCTTATCACTATTAACTGACAAATTTGTATTTGTTTTGCTTAACAAATAGTGATAGAAAAATGAATTATTATTAGATTTTAATGTATTTTGTATTTCAGCAAATTCACTGCCATTATTAATAACTATTTGTTTATCGATCGACCAGTTGTTATAATCGTCTAATACACGACTACTAGTCGGTCGTTCGCCGGGACTTTGCTCAAGCATTGAATTTAAAATATCAATTAAGACAATGAATTTATCCAAGAATATGGTGGACTTGTATTTTTGCTTTTCACTAATAATAGACATTAAATGAAAAATTAAACTAAACATTTTTAATAATAATCTAAATTATTATTACAGTATTTTATCAACTGGGTGAACAGATTGGGTTTTTAGCACTTGGTTCACACAAATGATATATTCATACAATTGATTACATATTAGAATACTATTGTATTGTTGTTTTGTAAATATTGGTGACATAATTTAGTTTTCATAAAGGCCAGTAATTTTTTATGCTTTAATTTTACTTTATGTTAAGGTTTATTGGTTTTGTGTACAAAACAAATATTATTTCTATCATCTATATGCAGTTTTGTAACATAATATATGTGGTTCACACAACTGATTGTATAATGTATTGAATTTTGTGTAATATTAGCTCAATGTTGTTCACATAAATGATATGTTCACACAGTTGACGTTCACATAGTTGATAGTATTTCAACATTATGTCTATAGACTGCGGGTTTTGGTTTTAGGGTTTGGTTTATATAAATGCTAAGTTCACACAACTGCTTTTTCACTCAGTTGATAAAATAAAGTCTAATAATATGTTATTGTTATTTCCCAGTAGTGTACATACATTTTGTTTAGTTCAAAAATGTTTAGTCCAATAAGTCCGAGACTATAAATATCTACTTTAATGTCATATTTATTGGAATAGGACACTTCGGGTGCCATATATAAAGGAGTTCCTTTCCCTCGTGTGTGAGTCATCAATGACTCGTGATATGTAGCCAGACCTAAGTCACCCAATTTTAGGAATCTGTCATCGTTTGGATTATTCAATATTAATATATTATCGGGTTTTATATCCCGATGAATAATAGGCGGATTCAATGAGTGAAGGTATTGCAGGCATTGCAATATTTCCCGGAATATTTTACACGATATAAAATATTCAAATAAATTCATGGGTTCTTTCTCTTGTCTATTAAATACAAGTGACTTATCTTTGATTACATTTGCGAGTGTTTGCGGGCAGTACTCCATCTGTATGTACAGGCGTTTCTTTTCAATCCATGAGTTGTAATATCTAACCACATATTTTAGATCCAGTTTTACCAACATTTCAACTTCTTTTAAAGCGACCTTTTGTTTATTGTCATCTAAATGTAAAAATATTATATTAAAAGTACTCTATTTTAATCACAAATAATTTGTATGTAATTTCGCACGGCCACACCCATATCAATTATTTCATGTTGTACAATATCAATTAAGTTTAGCTATGTTATTTACATTTAATTTGTATTATTTTCATGGCATAAATTTGTTGATCCAATTTATGGGTTACTTTATATAAAGTGGCAAAAGCACCGGAACCAATAATTTCCACCACTCGAAATTGATCTTCATAATAACTTTTATTCAAAAAACTTGCCATTTTAAGATAAATTCAATATTTATTAACTAGGTTTGCTCTTATGTTTATAATATTAATTTATTCATTTAGAATGATTTAAAATAATGAAATTGTTAATGTTAAAACTTAAATTCAAAGATTAAAATTATGTAACAAATTTATTATTATTATTAACGTATTTATTATAACTAGGCTTTAATAAATAACTTACAAAGTGCGTATAAAATAAAAATATTTCTTTCCCGATAAAACGAGTATTTGTTGATTAAGTTAATATTATCAATGAAAGTCAATGGCAACAATAAATATTTTTATGTTAGATAACATATGATTTATGCTTTCTGACCGAATTTATAGTTATAAAAATTATTAATTTAAAACGATAATTAGTATTCAATAACGCTCTGCGATATTCTTCGAGATATCGGCTAATGATTTTGTTAATAACTCGACATTTTTAAGCCCATATTTTACTACAACATTAAATAATTAACATTAAAACATAATCATTCATATAATCTAAGCGTTGTCATAATATGACTACAATACTGAACTATGTTCTAATTAAATATGTATTTAACATGTTCTGTATTACATTGTCTTAAAGAAGACTAAATAAACCTTATTATTATAAGTTAATTACAAAATTTATTATAATTATTTAATTATAATAATTATTAAATAGTTACAAATATAAATACATTTTATATTTATGTAAGCAAAAATTAGTTTTATTATAAATAATATTTGACTAAAAATATGTATAGTTATTGTTTAAATTTATAAAAATTTTAAAATAATATTAAATTTAATTCAATATATATAATAAATTTAAACAATATGAACCTAAAATGTTTAAATTAATAATATTGTTTGGCTAGTAGAATATGAAAAAGTTTTTTCACCATGATATCTGTTAAAAGTAAATTTATAAATTATCATAAAGAATTAATAAAATTGTATGAGTTCAATGCTAGAATCTTGGGTTAATATATTATACGTAGTGTTTATTATTCAAAAATAACATTCATTATAAAAATTTGACAATTCATAATCACATAAAAAATAAAGTTTAAATATATCTATTTGTATTGATTTTATATACAATTAACTAATATAAACTTTATACATGGCAATACACAGTATTACAAACAAAATTTACACGCATTGCTATTTGGTAAAATAATTTTTAAATAAATAAGACTTTATTAATCACATTATTATTTTTACCGTGGTTTTGCATTTTAATTTTGTGCTGCGTACGTAAAATCTGCTTAATTTCGGTTCCTTTATGTTTAAGCATGCATAATTTTTCAACACAACTATTTAATTGATCCCCAGTAATATTAGAATCAGTGGCATTCCGGGCACATTCAATCAATCCGTTCTCGAAGACATAATCCGATAACAACTCCTCCAGCTGTGCAATTGTAGCCATGGTCATTACACCGGGAGGGCCTTGACGTTCATTGGCTATTAAGTGCTCTATGTACTTAGTGAACGTATTGGTTAAGGGGGTTATGGCACTATATGCGACATAACAGGCATATTGTATTATAGAATCATCAATTGTTTTATGTTCAGCGTTTAATTCGGCGATTTGTTTGTTAAGATGAAGGACGAGTTGCTCCCGGGCCTCGGCCACGGTTTGCAAATAAATCGGCTCATTGTTATTAAATGTGATCTCGGTACTGTAATAGATGTGCCCATGCAGTTTATAACTGTGCCCGCATACTTGACAATCACAAGCCTTCCGAGTTATTTTGGACATTAATCTACATAACGTTTTAAACGGTTTTGCAGAATTGCCCGGTTCTCTGTCATAA